AAATTGATGGATTTTTTTACTGCTTAATGTAGTTCAAGACTAAATATTCGACATATTTTGTAAATAAAAATTTATAATACAATCAATATTTAGCATAACAAAAGGCGGCTTATTTACATTTAAAAAAAAACAATGTAATTACCAGTATATTTGGGTAAAGGTGGTATAAACATTTTCCAATTAACATCTGTGGTATAAATCGTAGTAAATTCTTCTGCCAGTTCATCCGTTATACTAAAACCATTGTTACGTAGAGCTTGTACTTGTTCCTTTCTTGAAGTTCTTGGTTCACCAGGATGTTCATAAACTAAATAGAACAAAACCGTATGCAATGCTTGCATACGTATAAATTTTGGACTATATCCATATTTTTTTGATCCTCTCTAGAATATTAAAAGATGAATTTAATTACATTGTTTTAATCACAAAAAGTGGTACATGTTATTACACTTATTAGCATTAATTTAATTTGTTCTTTTATCGTTTGTCATATTAATCTTAACTTCTAAATATAAAACATGACAAATACGTACAGGACCACATCTATAGTTTTCAGATAGAGCTTTAAATTGTTTCAACAAAGGCTTATCTTCAGGTTTGTTTAATACATCTTTACTATTATTACTTTTAATACATTCTGCTTTTTCTGTATATTTCTTTGCAGGTGACTTAGTTTTATGTGATAGTAATAAATAAAATTTCAATTTTGCTTGTTCCACAGCTGATTGAATAACAGTACTCTCAGTGTCAATATTTGGGTCGCATATAAATATCAAAGTTTTTTCTTTACCATTTCCACTGAGTGTTATTTTTATATTTTTTACCACATTGTCTTTTGCAAGTTTTTGTAACAATCTTATCAAGGATTTTTTATCAATTTTCACATCATACCCTTCTTTATCTTCTTCTTCGTGAATCATCTAAGAAAAAATATACACTAATTACTTGTAAAACATACATTTCATTAATATAACATTGTTTAACAAAAATTCCTTCCTCGTATAATCCTACCTTCATTAACTTAGTCATGTCGTCAATAACTTGATGTTCTTTAACTGATTCTATAATCATATTAGCTCTTCGCAGTAATCTATAAGTAATATGTGGTAAATGCTTTGAACTTTTTTTTTCACTATGTTGTACATTCTCCATGAATCCTTCATTTTCTGATTTGCGTGCCTTTAAGGATGATAAAATTGTCAAATCAACTTTTATATTTTTATATGCAGCTACTGCTTTTTCATTCTTTGATAAATCAGTAATTTCAGATAATACATTGGAATCTGTCTTCTCCTCTTTGGCTTGTATATTATTTTTATAATTAAGAAAGGTACGTTTATATTTATTTGCCCGTTTTGTTATGCGATATTTATATAATATTCGATTCACAACATAAAAGGTTTCTTGTATTACTGATTGTGATGTAGTTGGTTCTTCTGTTGTTTCGAGACAAATATTTTCATTGTTTTCACTGATCGTAACACATTCAGACACTTCTACAGCTTTTTTTTCTTTCTCATCGATTGCAGGCTCTTCCTTTTCTTGTTTCATAGATACACTTTTGTTAGAATCATCATTTTCAGTCATTTGTTTTGTAAGTTCTTTTATTTTATGCATTTCTATATTAAACTGTTTACTCAACATACTACCTTTTTCAAATCTTTTTGATACATATTTTGTAAGTCTTTGTCTACCGATATCATTCATATAAGTTGCAACAATATTTTGTTTAACTAAATTTCTTAAAATAGTCCGTGATTGTAGTTTAGTTAGACCCATCATTTTACCTAATTCTCCTTGACATAAGCCATTGCTCCCAGTAGATTCAATTATATCATTGGCTTGCTTCAAATAAGGTACACAATACTTATGATTTGAGATATTTAATTCTACAAGATAAAAATATATTTACAATATTAGACAAAAAAAGAAAAAGAATGAAAGTCTACAATAAATAAAAAAGATATATTATAAACTCCCAGATATTTATAACAAATATTTTAAAATATTAATATGAATCTTTTAAATGTTAAACAATAAGGTTCAATGTATAAAATCAACTGAATTACAAAATAATAATTCTATAATCTCAGACTTAGCAATGAATAAAGACATTCAGAATATGTTTTTGCTAAAACATGATATAGAGAATATATTATTTATAGTAAAATTATTAAACAAACCATGCAATTCATCCTCTTCTTGTATGTCATCTTTCCATGCTTCAACAACATCAATAGTGGGCTGTAATAACTGTACGACTTTAATTTTTTTTTCTTTAGATGGGTTATTTTTCTGTTGCCATTCTGTAGGTTGTGCGTTTGGATATAAAGTTCTATAGGGTACTCTCTGCTCAAAATGAGAAATAAACACTTTAATAGTTAAAAATAACTGTATAATCTGTGGATATGCATTACTTACGATATCTGTTTTCACAATTTTTTGAAAAAATGTAGTTTTAAATAGTTTCCTTATTGGATTTTCAATCCGTAATTTGCGTTTAATTTCATCGTACTCGGCAACGCAATTGGGTTTCGATTGTAAAATTTTAATAACCTCTTCAGCTAAAAAAATTGCTTTCGGTTTTCTCTCGACAAAGAATCTCGTAAGATGTAAAAGACTTCCATTACAACTGTGACCACCACTTTTTTGATGATGTATTTGTTTTGTTATTAATTTATGACGTAACAACAATTTTCGATGATAAAATAAACTCTTAGGATCTTCTCTCAATGCATTAAGGCTAAGTTTTCCCTGAGTAACTTCACCATGATACCGTGATCTGCCTACTCTTTCAAGGAAACAATATTGTATTACATTCAAGTCAATCATAGGAGACACTTCACCTCCCATTAAAGCATGATTTCTTTCAGTCTGCGATGCAACTATAACTAATTTATTTCCATATTTTTCTGTAACCTCATCTAAACTAAGCATTCTTATATTTTCTGTTATCAGTTTACGAGTATAATATGTTGAACAAGATCCTTTAATGCCTTTAGGTACATCATTTATTGGACAATGTGGATAAATGTCTGGTGGCACGTTGTCCTATAAATACAAATATTTCAATATTGATTATGACCAAAAAGTAATAAAACTAATTAGTATAATTATACATATAGAAGAATTTGGTATTTCTTTATAAGATGACAAGATATATTAATGTGATAAAGATAAATACAGGAGTAATTGATAAATTAAAACAAAATGAAATAATTATTTTTGTTATAAAAATATTTATAATACTTACAGGTTCTAGTATGATACCTAAATCAGGATCTACAAATTCATATCGATCATAAATAACAAGCGGTTCTCTTGCAGTTTTTAATTCATAAAATTCAAATTCTCTGATCTCTATGCATATTGACCATATTTGAATCATTAATGGCTTAGGAAGTGGAAAAGAATTGTTAAGACCTTGTGCTAAACGTAACCATAATGCTGTAAAAAAATATAATCATTTAATGTATGAAATTTTATTCCTTATACTATTAATTTTACTTTACTAATCTTTAATCTTTAACTATTACCGACTATTTATTTAAACTATACATATTGAAATTATACAGAGTTAAAAATTATAGATAATACATTTTTTTACAGTTTAAATTATTAAAGCAAATAAAAAATTAGATACGAATGATATTTATTTTTAAAAGATTAATATACTTTTATGAAATATATTTGAATCAGCAATTTTATTTAACAGAAGTTGTATTATTTTACACTACAATTGCAAAATTATTGATTGTACGATAAAAAGTTGTGTACACTATAATGAAATAAATATTAATGTTTATATTAACCTTGTAGAGTAATACCATCTAAACCTTCTAAGGCAACCTCATCAATAATTAAATCCACTAAATTAATTGATGGATACGATACCATAGTGTGTACTAATCAAGATACACTTTATAATATGATAGAATTTTTACATTTTATTTTTTATTGCATTTTTACACCTTCAGATCAAGGAATCGATTTTTATTTCTCAAATCACGCACCCATGTAAACACTTTCTGTTCAAGCATGGACGAGATAGAACAGGTTACCTAGCACAAACTTAAGATACGTAAGGGCAGATGTTGTACATACTGCAACGGTTGCAGCTTATAGGAATTTTTGTCTAGGGCTTTCAGGGGTCATCAAGACCATTGTATCATTTTGGTGTCGCGCTCGATGTTACCGATAGTACAAGATTTTTGGCTTGTTAGTAAGAATCGAATCAGCTATATCAAAGGTGTGTAACTTAAGTACATACTCTTCTCACACAGTAATTCGAAAACAATGTTACCCCATTATCTCTATTTAAGGAACTATCCGAGACCACAGACGAGGTATAGGATAGACATAACAAGCAATGTAAAATTTTGTTACAGGCTGTCAGAGGTTCTAGGAGCCGTTTACCGTTTTCGTGTCACGCCCTGTCATATCGACTTACGCAGGTTTTGCATTACAGCGCTATAAGTGATAGGAATTACAATAAAAAACATTGAATACGGACTTAAAATACGTACAGATTGTGCATTGTATTTAAACATGCACCTTTACCCATTTTTCGTCCTTTCTCCGTTGCAATTTTGTATGTTCGTATTCTGTAATAGAATAAGAAGAAAATTATAAATTCTTTATCTTCAAGTATTTCTAATATACATATATTTATAACATGTTGATCAGAATGAATATTTAAATACCATGATGTAATTAGAAGTGCTGCCGAAATAATAAATATTAAAGTTAACAATATTCAGAAAATAAACTTACATTTGTGTAATACCGGCTGCAGGCTATCAAGAGCGATCACGCATCCGTGGCAGCGGCAGTTAGAGGATAAAAGGTTAGCGGATAAAATCAAATATTTTCCCTATCCCATCAATAAGTAAGACAATTATTAATTATTAGCTTCTATCACCAAAAGGATTGCTTTTCATTGAACCTGACTATCGATACGATTTTAAATTCTCATATAACAAATAAAAAGATTTAAGTAATGAATAAAAAGTATAGGAAAGTCTTAATTCCCTTGTATGCAATATTTTAACTGAAATATATTTTTTATAGCAAAAAATATTGAAAATAGTCGGTGACCTATTAACTCTCATGCAGATCAGTTTGCCGTTCGTCTCACAAAACATAGACAGTTTTCTACGATAATTTCATTTAAATAACTATTGAAGGTATACGTGGAATTCGGTTAATATTTCTTTATTATATTCAGTTTCGAGTGATATATTTAATTAATGAACATCACGAGAACCTTAATTTATATATTTATCAATAGATGGCTACAAAGTTCTGACATTTCTCGTTGGTTATTCCGTTACAATCTTTTCAATATAAGTAGATAGAATAAAATTTAAGAATAGCGGGTTTACGAGCAGAACGCATAGCACTGTAAAGTGCATCTTGCGTTCGTGGTGACCTAACCAAGACCTGCAGGGAAATTTCTTTCTCGGCTATAAAAGTGTCTTCACTAGGAATGTTACTTGCATTTTCTCTCTTTAAAAGTGGTTTGTTCGCCCTGCTTCCACTTACAGAAAAACAGAAAGGGTATTCCTCGTGAACCCCTATTTTTGTGATAATAAGTTTGCTCATTTTCATAGATATTTTTATTTTTCTTTTACTTCTCAAATGTAAACGTTAGGACATAATTCAGTATATAATCCAGTATAATTTAAGTACGCATCTTGTCTGTATTTCAATATTTTTTATTCCAATTTCTATCACTTATAGTGCTGCCATGCAAAACCTGCCTAAGTCGATGTGACAGAGCGTGACACGAAAATGGTAAGGGGGTCCTAGGACCCCCTCGAGAATATGACAAAATTTTTCAGTACATGTTATGCTTTCCTATACCTTGTCTGTGTATATATAAGGTACCATGGTTAGAATTCTGTTGTTTTTATACCAATATTTAACATCTTGATTAATGTACGACATATAGTCAAAGATAGTAATAATCATAATATACCACATATTAAACTAATGACAATAATATTTACTTGTATATCTATTACACCTATTCCTGTAGTTATAAGTTAATAAATATCATGTTTCAGTAATTTGAATTACTTTCTGAACTTATCCAAACATGGTAGGCAACCTTGTAATATGTGTTTGCTAATCTTCAATAATATGTTCTGTAATTTCTACAATACGTTATATTAATATATTTAGCTCTTAATTGTTTATTCCTTGCACGAAAAGAATATTTTAAATACACACGATTTGCTAGGTTAACGTAACCCGTTTAAATATCTATTTCTTTTTTCCATTTAATTCCATCCGTTAACAATTATATTCATTACATTGGTCAACCTGTTATTTTAAAACTTTTAAACTGTCAGATCCAATGTAATAAAACACGAATAGTACACGATGGATGCAAATCATTTCGAAAAGCTTATATTTCAAGCTCGCCAGCTTGATGTAAATCTCGAAAACTTAGCTGAAACGTGGAAACGACCTGATGTTTCTATTGGGCGATTTGGGGATCGTAGTGAAGAAACAGATGTTGAGATTGCAGCTTTATGGAAGAAAATAGAATTTATACAGGTAAAACAGCATATTGCAATGTTTGAAATAATGAGATAAATATTATATGGATTTGTATTGTTGTACTGTAATTCATTATGTAATATTATTATATCAGGAAGGAATAATTCAAACTAAATTAAAAATAGATAAGCATGTAGAAGATGTATCTATAGAACGAGTTTTTGAAAAAACCAAAACGGAATATGAATCATTAAAGGAACAATGTGATAATATAGAACTTATTTTTGAGAAATATGGTTACCATTATAATGAGGAAAATAATTTAGACCAGTAAGTATTATTATTATTATTAACTACATATTTAATATATTAAATACTTATAATAACAAGAAAGACACGCGCTATAGAATTTGTAACTTAATGTAGTAAGAACGTATAAAACCATGGAACAAATATAGAGAAAAGTAAATATCAAAATAAATTGAATTTTAAAGTAGGAATAAAAAACAGAATAAAAATATGTATCATGTTTAAAGAAATTATGTATGTCTGTAAAATATGACGGTACATGTAAAAAGAAATAATCTTCCATTGATTCTTACCTTCTGAAAAATATTCATAATTGCTTGTTTCTAAGAACTTTAATTTTGTTAAACTAAAACAATGTTTATGTTAATCAAGTTAAATGTATGATTTTTGCAAAGTGTTTTTATTGTTTACTGATAATGTTGAACATGTTTGTTTATACATTAACATGAATATGAAGGATGAAGTAGAAATTCTTACATAATTCAGTAGATTTTCTTTGCATTTTTGTAATTAATTATATATGCATTGTGATATATGTTATGATTAATATTAATTATATTATAGAAATACAGCAAATAGTACAGAAATGTCTGATCTGGAGTCTTCTAAAGAAATAACAGAAATTTCTGAAGTAGAATTTACACCAAATCTCAGTTGGAAAGAGAAAGTAACATATAAGAAGCATATAAATTCAATATTTAATGAGAGTGGCATACCACATTTGGTTACAACACCAATAACGAAAAATTCAACATCGATTTTAAAAGACACTTCTATAATACAGAATGATCTCTTATATACACCAATCAAGCATACACCAGTTAGAGAACGCCCACCAGAACCAATTTATTCTAGACATTTTTATAATTCATTAAAACAATGAATTGTAAAGTTTTATATTTTAGAAAATGTATTTTTAAAGTTGTACAGCCTATATGGATAGGGTAAAAGGATTTATATATTTGTATAAAAAATTATGAATATATTTTTGTTTTCAGATCATGTCATGATTAACACTTTTACAAGTATATATGTAAGACCCATAATTTTGTAATTTGTCATAGATTAATTTTGTGTTTTTAAAAAATATGTATTTAAATTACCAAATTAAATTAATAATAATTAATAAAAATAGGCTAAAGAAAACATATCTTTGTTAAGTTGTACCTTTCTTAATCGTGAAAAATATAATATAATTTAAAACATTTATAAATTTATAAAATTAAGACAAAAATAAATTGCAAAAAAAATGTAAATCATAGTAATTTTTTTTAAAAGAAACTT